CAGCCTCCCAAGGTGCGGGATTACAGGCTGAGCCACCGAGCCTGGCTTGGTCTCAGTTTCTATCATTCTCTGTGCATCTGTTTGCCACTTGATGGGAACCAGGCTACCAGTCACGCCTCACCCCAACTTCTCATAGCTTCCAGGGGAGCAGGGTCTCAACCTCTTCCTCAAGTTCAGTTTGAAAAATAGGTAGAAAGAATTCTGACTTGCAAGCCTGGGCCCTTCCACTGAGGCCAGAATGGCCTGTGAGGACATGACCAATCCACCAGGATCATCAGTCCAGAATGAAGAAAGAGGCAACCTCAGGAGAACAGACTGTATAGGGCAGGGGTGTCCCTACAGGGGCTTATGGGACAGCTCCAGTGGTATGTCTTGACCACGTACACAGACTGACTGACGTCTCTCTACGTCTTCAAGGCTAGGGGGTGACTTGTGGTAGCCTAAAATGGCGTAGGTGACCACACCCCAATGATGGTGACAGCAGTGGTGGAAAGCCCAGCATGGCTGGTAGCCTTGGTCACAGACTTGGAAGGGCTGGTCATCTGTGTTGCCTCCTTAGGGGTGTAGGTGGGTCCATCCTGGATGTCAAAGGGCAACTGATGCATGGCCAGCACGAGATGGGGCAGCCTGACTACTTAGGAGGCTTGTGCTGCCCATGTCAAGAAAGCCTCTCCTGTCTTGGTAACACACAGATCATGAAAATAGATTTAAACTGCGTTTTTTCCCAACTGAATAATTTTAAACCTTCACTAGGAGTTGCTGATTAAAGACCCCCTAACAACCAGCATTTGCTACCCCACCCATATCCCTCTGGGCCTCATTATGGTACAGGCAGGCCCAGCTCCACACCGCCTGAGGGCTTTTTCTGGAGGCAGAAGGAGTCAGGAAGGGCACGCACCCTGGGATCAACCCACAACCACTGACTAAAGACAATGGACAGCCACAACCCCCACCAGAGAGGTAACTCAGAAGCACTCAGCAACCTACCCAAGTCCTCACGGGGTTGGCAACACATTCCCTTACTGCTTCTTGGGTTAATTTTTCATATAAGCCACTTGCACCAATCCTTGTCTCAGGCGCTGCTTCTCAGAAATCCACACCAACCTGCCACCTGAAGTGCCTATTTTGGTAGAGGAAGAAAGCACCACCATCCAGAGGAGGCACATAAGGAGGCAGAGGTGAGGTGGGGGATCAGAGATGGAGACCTCCCAAGAAGCCTCTTAGGAGACTCAGACACCCAGCTTGGGAGCCATCCAGAGAGGTGCTCACTCAAAGGAGCAGACTGCATTGTCAAACTCACAGAAACAAAGGGTGATAACACAGCCAGTGCCTTTAATGCAAAGTGAGAAAGATGATGAGGCCAGACTTCCTGCATTTACCTGATGGCACCATCTCTCCCTGCAGATGAGGGAAGCCCATGATGATCTTACCTCAAGCCTGCCCAGTGGGCATAGGCTTGGCACAAAAGGAGATGCAGAGACTTCCTGCTGAACACCTGATGCATGTGTGAACTGTGGTTGGACGGAACACTGGGCAGGCCCTCACCCACAAAATCCTGTTGATGACACTGCCTTAGTGGGCAAAAGGGCAGGGGCCAGGCCTGCCAGTGTGCAGGCACAGCTTCCCAATTCTGAGGGGAGTCCCTGAGACCCTTTTTGTGTGGCATGACTGTGCTTTGGGAATAGTTCCCAAAGGTGGGCTAGTTCCAGGCAGCTCCTCCTCACCCCAGCACTAGCAGCTGGGAAGTGGGATGAGGAAGGTGGGATCAAAGACAGGTATGGCTGCCATAAGGCAGGGGTCCAAGTAAGTCACATGGCAGCTCTAGACTCAAGACGTTCTGCAGTTGCACTAACTTGAGGACAGACACGGCACCCCCACTTCAGCCTCCTTGCTGCCAGCTTATCTCACCCACTTGTCCTGGGTGTGGCAGCACATCAGAGCTGGAAGCAGGTTGGACAGGAGGCGGATGCCAAGCTTCACCTGGCTGCGTGTCTAACCTCTGCCCTTCGTCCTTGCTCTCTCAAAAGTCCCATCCCAGAAGGGAATCAGCGGGGCCAGGCAGCACTGAATTCCCTCTCCAGGCCTTGGATGAAGTGGTCATTGAGGAAGAGCAACTGACCATGAGGCAGAAAGCGGGTGAGGATGCCCTCGATGCGATCAGCCCGCAGCAGGAGGTTGGTGCCAGGAGCCAGTAGTTGGAGGTGGTCAAGGAGGCGTGCCAGCAGCCGGAGTGTGCCCTCAGCCAGCAGCAGGTTCTCGTGGGTGTCCAGCACCAGAGCAAAGCCTAATGAGAGCACGCCCAGCCACACCACGGTCCGCTGCTCCTGGAAAGGGTCACCTGCCACCAGGCGGAAGGCCCCGCATGGGGCCTCGTGCAGGGGCACTGGCTCATCTGAGGACTGGGACTGCAGGTCCATGGGGGGCCGGCCAGATGCCTGCTGCTGCAGCTGGCACATTGACTCCACCTGCCTGGGGAGAATGGGCAGGTCAGGTTGGCAGGTGACAGGCCTGACAAGGCCACCCCAGTAGCCCACACGCCAACTTCTGTCATCCTCATGACCATCCCCGGTGTTGGGAGCTACCATTATCCCCATATCTCAGGTGAAAAAGTCTAGGCCCAGAAAGACTAAGTGACTGTGAGGGCCACACAGCATGAGCCTAGACAAGAACCCAGGCCCTAGCCCCCAGGCCCTGAACCAGTTTACTCCATGTGGTCAAGAAGGCAGGTTTTGGAATCAGCACCTTGGAATGGAAAGGGCACCACAGGGAGAAAGCCCTGCCCTAACCTACCTCACAGAAGCTTCCCCTACATAAAAGTAAAGAGGAGGAGAATGAATGCTGTCGCCCAACTCAGGCCGTCCAGCCTCTTCACTACTATCCCATCCTGAGACACTCTCCAAGTAAAAAGAAAGCCCTTTCCACTTGACCATCTAGGCTTTTAGAAACTCCCTTTGATCTTTCCTGAATCACCTTTCAGTTTGGGCCGTGCACAGGCTGATTTTAAAGGTATTTGTTTGGTTTTCTGTGCTATAGGGAGGGAGAGGAGGATGAGAACAGGGGAAGGCAGAAGCTGGCAAGGGGTTGCCCCAGAGCAGTAATCCCCCACCCAGAACCCAAAGGGGGCGAGGAGACCCTAGCACCTGCCAGCTCCATCTGCATCTGTGACGGAAAAGTCCAAGGCTAGCACTCTAATCTAGAACAGTGTGTACCAAAACGTGCTCTGGATCCCAGGTTCTCTGGTGTCCTCATAAACCACATCCTCTTTCTTCCCTAGAGATCTACAGGCATACTATAGGTCCTGGAAGTCCTGCACTGCAACGCATTTTAATCTATACTGGGGTCCACCTGCCTACACTCAAATCTCAGCTCTGCTACTTTCTAGCTGCATAACATCAGGCAGCTTAAGTTCCTTAAACACTGTGTATCTCCATTTACTCATTTGTAAGATGGAGATAACTGTATCTACCTCAAAAGATTGTTAGGATTAAATGAGTATATATATACATACACACACACACACACAATGTTCAGAACATAAAATGATTATCACATACTTACTCAACAAATGCTAATTATAATGACAATGGCCTTAATGGCATTCTTATTTCTTTAACCTTTTTTTCATTTAACACTTATGAACAACTCTGGAGAACTCTTTGGGAAGCAGCACTCTAAAATGTTCTCTCTGCCTCTGAGTCCTCCTGTTTCTCTGGGCCCTCCAGAACAACTATCAAAATCAGGCATGTGTTTGATGACAGCCTAGGGCTAGGCTGTGTGGTTACCTGGCCACCGCCAACAACTGCTCCTTGCGGAGGAGCCTGTCCCTCTCAGCACCATGTGGCCGCGGGTCATCAGGTGACTTCTCAGCACCAAAGACGCAAGAGTAGAGCACTCGGCAAAGGCCCATGTCCTCAACACGTGGGGCCCTCAGGGTGTGGATGAGGAAGGCATGGACCATGGCTCCAAGGTGGGTGCTATAGGTAAGTCAGAGATCTCAGTGAGGTGAGGGTGAAGTCTCAACGGAGGAGGCATCCACAGGAAGGGTCTGGCCTAGCAGTGTCTGGGAGGGTGTCCAGAGGCCAGTGTGGCTGGACACTGCTCCTCCTCCCACATCCAAGACACACCCCAGCCTCTGAATAACAGCATCTGGATAGAATCACATAACAGAGTGCAGTGGTGAAGAAACCTCAGGCAATCTGAAACCTAATTCTACAAAACAACAGGCAAGGAAATCTGCAAGAGCGTCAAGGTCATGAGGTCATGGAAAAGCTGAGGCGCTGCTCCAGACTGAAAGAGACCTAAGAGACCAAACAGCTCACTGTAACGTGTACTCTTGGATTGGATTCTGAACCAAGAAAAAGATAATTTTCATAAAGAGCACTGACATCTGGAAACACTTAAATATAGACTACAGGTTAGTTAGCAAAGATTCTTGATCAATATTATCTGATTTTGAATGTAGGACCGTATCCTTGTTTTCAGAAAATACCGGGGGTGCCAAAAAAATGTATTCACATTTTAAGAGATGTTATCTATTACTTTTAGTTTGCCGTAATCAGAAGTGTCTGGACACTGATGATAACTATTTTGAGCACCTATTGTAATTGCAAACATGACTTGTATTCATCTTTTGTTACCGGTATATATTGAGTATTACAGTTTTGATAGTTTTCTCCTTTCTTAAAATTTGTATGCATTTTTTTGGCATCCTCAGTACATACGATGTACCTCTAAATATAGAGGGTAAAGGGGTACCGTACCCGCAACTAACTTTGTCCAGGGAAGAAAGGACAAAATAACAGAGAAAACGACAAAGCCCCATTTGCAAAAGATGCTAACAACTGGTGAATCTGGCCGGGTGCCTGTAATCCCAGCGCTTTGAGAGACTCAGGGCTTGAGGCCAGAAGTTGGAGCCCAGCCAGGGCAACAGAGCGAGACCCGTCTCCAGTTTAGAAAATTAACTAAAAAACAAGAACTGGTAAATCTTATCAAAGGATATACGGGAGTTATTTGGAATTGCTTCAAAATAAAGACTAAATAACAAAAACGGTCGGTTGGATAAGGAGTCAGGCGTTGGAAGGCAGCGGATACGCAGCAGGCATATGTTAGCTAACGCTAAGCAGACCGTCAGTCTAAATTGGTCAAACAGAAGGATCCTTGCGGACACTTCGAAGACGGGAGCCCGGTGTCCTGCGGCGACCCTGCAGCCTCAGCAGAGCGTCATCAGCCCTCGCCACCGCGCCCCCCACCGCTAGACACAGGGTAGCCGCCAAGAGCGCTTACGTCACTGACACCCGCACCCCGGCCGCGCAATGCACTTCGGGGGCTGTAGTTCCTTACTCCAGTCAGCCAGGCCGAAAACGGGGCACCCCGCCCCGATCGTGCTGCCCTGACAGCCCCGGGCCGCTGTCGTTGAGACGTCGCACTCAGCCGCCCCTCCAGGACCGCGACCTGCTAACAAGGCGCTTCCCTCGGCGGTGGGCGAGCATGGCGGCCGCGCGGCCCGTATACGCGTGCGCACGTCGGTCGCGGGCGCGCGCACGTCCGGGGCGGTACTCCGGGGTCAGGCCAGGCTTGGGCGGCGACGCCCCTCATCTGCGCACGCGTGAGCTTCGCCCTCCTGTTCAAGATCCCGCAACTC